GGCAGGAGGCTGCTGCCCTGCAGAGGGAGAGAGCAGGTGGAAAGAAGCACCTGCATAGGCACAGGTGGGCAGAGAACTGCTGCCCAAACCCATTCTTTTCCTGGAGCTGGACACACCAGCAGAGGGAGTGCCAGACTAAACTAAAATATGAGACCAATGCCCTAATGCCACCTCAGTTTTCTGTGTGAGCCGTCCTCAGAGAAACCCTTCTAAACCCTTAAATTACATATGTATATAATATTGGCATATAATAATGGCATATATATACATATATATATAATAGCATATAATAATTCTATTATTATAGGCCATTTCAACATCTTGTGATTCTTCAAACTATTAAGTTACCTTTTTAATACCTACCTATTCTATTACTCTCTAACCAGTATGATATCAAACATATCTGTCTTGTGACATAAGTTCTCTCCTTGACCCAAAACTCTTGACCTGTAAAGCCTCTTCTCCACTAGGCCTCAAACTTGACCTTTTACAACTTTTAGTTTTTGAAATAAAAACTAAGTTTTTGAATTAAATTCAACCTAACTTTGCCTATCAATAGCAGAGGTAGTGAATAAATACAAGGTAAAATATCAATAGATATATATCCTGAATGCAAAAATCACTCACATAAATCATTGTTTTCTCCCTTAAAAAAGTGCTGTAATCCATGAGTCAGTGTTCCATTTCCTGTGCCGTCTTTTATTTATTTTAACAAAGTTTTCTATTTTTTCGCTGTATAGGTCTTTCAACTCCTCCTTTAATTCCTAAGTGCTTTTTCTTGTTGTGTGATTACAAACAGTGTTGTTTTCTTGACTTCTTTCTCTTTGAGTCTGTTGGCATATGGGAACTCAAACAAATTTTCAGAAATGATTGCATCCAGTCATTTCCACTCACATTAAAAGACTTAAACAAAAACTTTAATTCAAAAGGACACCTGCACCCCTATGTTATTGCTGCCCTATTTACAATAGGGAAAATGTGGAATCAACCCAAATATCCAAAAATAGATGACTGGATCAAGGAGATGTGGTACATAGACACTATCAAATATTACTCAGCGATCAAAAAAGATAAAACTCATGCTACCTGCAGCAACATGGATGGAGCTGGAAGGAATTATGCTTAGTAAAATAAGTCAGAAAGAATAGGAAAAAATACTGCATAATTTCAATTATAGCAGGAGTGTAAGGGATCAGAAAAAAAAGTAAATGTGATAAAGTAAACAAAAAGTAAAAAAGTAATAAAGTAAATCTGTACAATGTAAAAAAACAAACAAACAAGACTTAAACACTAACATACTTTATAGCAACTCAAGAATGGTTCCCTACAATGACCCCAGCACCACCTAAGTGTGTACTTGAGAACAGCCAAGGTTACCAGAAGAATTTTGCAGCCAACACCTAACCACGGGCACCTTTTCTGGAGCAGTTATTGAAAAGGACTTACGATCATGAATCTTTTCTCTGTCCCCATGAGTTGTATAGGTAGCACTGACAACTTAGAAGTGCCTTTCTAAAGGAATTTTCTAGATTCTTAACTTCCACTATTACAGGCTCAGAACTGATTCTCCTTATAGATATTTACACTGGTAAATCCTTTGTAATTTTCCACTTCACTGACAACTTAAAATGCCAGTCACCTCTGTGCAAATAAACTTGAGTCAAATCCCCTGGACTTCTCTCTTTAAATAATATATTTAAAGATGAAATCCATCTTCACCTGCTTAACTAGAGTCTGACTATGTTTTCCTAGCATGTGCCTGACACCATTGCTGACAGCTGGCAGTTTCGGCCTCACCTTCTAATTCAGAGCTATTTCCTGTTCTGCCACTGGCCAGCTGTGGCGCCAGACAATACACTTCCTCTGACCTTGGTATCATCCCTCTGGTAATTAGGGAGGAGGGTGCTGCAAGCTAATAAGGAAGCTCAAAGTACTAAATAGGTGAATTTGCCATCGCACTGGTTTCAGGGAGCGGAACTAGAGTCTCACCCAAGTCATTGCCTTTTAACTTTTCTGGGTGATGCCCTGGGGTTTCCAGAAACAAAATTTGAAAACTCTCACCATGGACAATCAGTTCTTCAGGTACTTCCAGCAAGGAGATCTGCAGAATTCCTGTTGCTATTTTGGCAGTGACTTCTCCTGCCCTTCACGAGGGCGCACCTACATTGGTTCCTTCCTGAATGAGTTCAAACAGACACTGTGAATGTAAGAACCAGAGCCAGCCATCAGGTGAAACTCGTGATGTGTCTGACACTACCAGGCTCTGGGACTGTACAGTGACCACAGCTCATACGCTCAACCCTTCATTCTTTCTATGATAAGGCCAGAGTGTGGAATAAACATAACCCAGTGGACGAAGCTCTGTACCAAAGTAGAGTTGTATTACGACGTTCATTATGGCTCCTGCCCCACCTCAGAGATAAGTTGAATTTCTAATTTTTGGTACCTAGGAATAAGGCTGGATGACTTTGTAAAGATGGAATCAAATCAATGTGAAGTCATCCGAGTCCAGAAGATGAAGAGTGAAGAAGCATAGCAGAAGTTCAGACACTGACACACACACAGGACGAAGGTCATGTGATGGAGACGGAGAATGGATTGAGGCAGCTTCACATCAAGGAATGCCAAGGTTTACCAGCAAACCCAGAAAGTGAGAGAAAGGTGTGGAACAGAGTGTCTCCCAGAGCTTTCAGAGAGAGCAGGGCTGATGGAACTGAGTTTAGACTTGTAGCTTCCAGAACCATGGAGGAAAAATTTCTGTTGATCTCTAGCCACCCAGGTTGCATGTTTGTTATGGTGGCCCTAGGAGACTGATAGAGAGGACAGTTTGATGTGTTAACTTGCCTAGGTTTGAATCCCCAGTTATTCAGTCAAACCCTAGAAGTTGTTGCCAAGGTATTTGTTAGTTCAGATTAACATCTATAGTCAGGTGAGTTGAAGGAAAGGAGACTTATGTAGGTGGCCCTGAATCACTCAGTGGCAAGGCCTGAAGACCAGAACAAAGACTGTCCTAAAATATAAAAAATTTTGCCTGTGAACATCAACTTCAGCTCATAAGAGAGTTTGATCTACTCTTCCCAGTGGCCTACCCTGTAGGCTTTGGACTAGCTTGACCAACCCCCATATTGTGTAAACGAGGTTCCTAATATATCCCCTACTGTTTCAGTTTCTCTAGCAGAGCCCTAATACACAAAAAGGATGATGCAATCTCTAAATATATCTGTCTACAAGGTTGTGGAGTGCATGAAGGCTTCACAGAGGATGATGTCTTCACAGGAGAGGAGAGCTTTGGGGGGTGGCTAAGGGGTTGCCAGGTGGGAAAGTGTAGTTCAAAGAGCAGGAACTGCATGTGCCAAGGCCCCTTGTCCCTCCTCCCCCAGAGGCTGGACACAGGCCTTGCAGCGTTTGATGAACTTCTCCCATCAAACTGAGGACTTTGGCACTTGTCCCAGAGGCCAAGACTTCTCCTTTTTCAATTCTTTTTTTCTTTTTGAGATATAACTTTTATAACTCGCATGTATTTAACAAGAACTTGATGAATTTTACATATGTATCTAATAGCCATGTAATCTCCACTGAATCAGATACGGAGTCAGGGCTGGGGCTAGTGTTAGTGAGAACAATGAGGTGAACTGTTAGGCAGTTTCAGATCCCAAGGTCTTTAAAACTGTGATCTTTGGGCCCTCCCTGGTAGTGCAGCTGGTTAAAGCACAGCACTAAGAAGCTAAAGCCACTTGAGCATGAGTTCGATCCCCGCCTGCCCCGGAGGTGACCACATGGCGCCCGCAGACCTCTCCTGACCCAACAGCTGCTCCCCTCAGCAGTGTACCTCATCGATCTGCCTGTTCTGCTCCCCACTCTGTCTCTGGTGAAATCTCTCGCTGTCCCTAAGCCTCTGGCCTGTACCCCAGTTCTGTATGCACAAATAAATAAATCTTTTTTTTTTAAAGATTTATTTATTTATTCATATAGGACTGGGGTACAGGCCAGAGATGTGGAGGGTGAGAGGAGTCAGCAGAGACAGAGTAGGGAGCAGAACAGGCAGATCGACAAAGTACACTGCTGAGGGGAGCAGTGGGCGGGTCAGGAGAGGTCTGCCACGCCATGTGGACAGGAATCGAACTCATTGCGGAAGTGGCTTAAGCTTCTCAGTGCAGTGCTTTAACCCACTGCGCCACCAGGGAGGGCCACAAATAAATAAATCTTTAAAAAAAAAAAAACTGTGATCTTTTGCTAATGATGACTTTTTGCATTCATTGTATTTCTTTAAATGGTGTTTCCTTTAATCACTACGTTTGTAGCTAACCACTCTAGTCCTCTAGTCTTGAACCTGTTAAATATTTCCAGCACCTGAGTGGCTTCCTCATTCCCCTACAAGGAAGCCACTAACTAGCGAGGAGTACTTAACTGGAGTGCATGGCCTGCCGATTACCTATTATGTTTTGGGTGAAAACGCGTGTGTGCTGAGGGGAGCGTTCATTCCTTTGACGAGTTTCTTGGAGATGTCTCTAAAGGATAAGAAACTCAGATACGGGTTAGTAGGAAACCAGAGACTTTTTTACCCAAGGGATTCAGACTGACAGCCTTAGGTGGGGAAAGCAGTTTCAACCAGACAGCCTCTCTGAGCCTCAGTGTTCGCATCATATACAATGGAATGGACAGTCCTAGTGCCTCTCAGTGAACTGTGTAAAGGTCAGATGAGACAAAGGCAGTAAAGTTCCTTACCCCCTGCAGGGTGCATGGGCGCTTAGGATGTGCTAGGCGCTAAACGAAGGGTTTTCCAACCGTTATTTTTAAGCATTGCATATAGCCCAAAGAAAAAGGTGCAAGCCTCAGCAAGTTCTCGTGGCGACGCAATAAAGATTATCCACGCTGGGGGTAAGCGCCGCCGCCAGCCCGCCGACTGGGCGGGAAGGGGGCGGCGCGCAGGTGGGGCGGGCCGGGCCGGGGGCGGGGCGGCGCGGCGCGGAGTGTGGTTCCGGGATCCGGGTCTCCGTAGGCTCTGCTAGCCACTGGGCGCGCTGACCCGCGGGCTTCAGCTGGCTGGCGCATGTGGGGGTGCGCGGCGCAGCGGCTCTGCCCGCGGGGGCTGCGGCGGCGCGGCCGTGGGGCGCTGCTGACGCTATTGACGCTGCTGGCCCTGGCCGGACTAGGCTCGGTGTTGCGAGAGCGGCGCGGGTTCAGGGGTGCCGAGCCGGGAGCCCAGAGCACCCCAAGACCCTGGAGTGCCCAGCGTTCCGGGCGTCGCGACCCGGTGTTGGCGCGGCCGCCGCTGGAGAACAACGCTCTGGGCGCGCAGGGCGAGGCGGTGCGGTTGCAATTGGAGGGCGAGGAGCTGCGGCTGCAAGAGGAGAGCGTGAGGCTGCACCAGATCAACATCTACCTTAGCGACCGCATCTCGCTGCACCGCCGCTTGCCTGAGCGCTGGAACCCGCTGTGAGTCCTTAGCGTGGGCAGGAGCTCCGGCCTCAGAGCCTCCGTGTCCTCAGCTGCGCCGTGGTTTGGTGGAACTGGGGTCCTCACATACTTGGGGATCAGGCGTCTGCCTTACCGAGTCTTTCTGGAAAGTGAGCGCTGGAAAGGTTCTTGAGCACGCGTGGGGGGTCAGAGCAAGCAAGTTGCAGAGGATAAAAATAGATGCACGAAAAAAAAAAAAAATAGATGCACGATTTGCCGGTCGCTTGACTCTTCTGCCTTGAAAAGTTCTGTCATTCAGCCCTGGAAAGTGGCTCAGGATTTAGCAGACAGGTGGAAGAGGAGACTCTTTTGGGTGCTCCTGTGGGGTTCCCACTGCACCCCCCCACGTTACTCCTTTACAGTTCTTCCTCTGCCAACTAGGACTCTTGGGGTTTGAACCTGCTCCCTTCATTCATCTGTGTGCACCACCGCCCTGAGTGAACCAGAGGGGCAGGGCCCTCTTTGCCGAGGTGAAAGGTGGCTGGAAGGCCAAGTCTCTCTGGGCGGGCAGGCGGGTGGAAGGCTGAGGGAGTGGAAGGCAGGAGGGAGCGGCTGTGAGAAGGACTCCTGGCTGTGGTCCATGGCAGGGCTCTCCCGTGGGTGGTGCAGGACCCAGCCGGGTGGTCAGAGGCCTAGTTCCTGTTCCAGCTGCTAGCTGTGCAGCCTGTTCCTGTGCAGCGGGTGCCTAGGTGAGAAGGGAACACCCCATGAGAAGAGGAAGGCCCTCCTCAGTGGGTGGGGATCTTCAGGTCCTTGCTGAAGTGCTCTTCTTACAGACTTTGAGGAGAAGGCAGCCCAGGGAAGGGGTCCCTGGGGCAGCTTGCTGTGCAAACCACACACCTGCCACCCCTTCTGGCTGTGTCCTAGCCCATGGAAATAGGCACAGAGCGGGCAAGTGACTCACCCAAGGCCCCACAGCTGGCGAGTGATAGAATCAGCCTCCGGGCCCAGGAGGCCTCTGTTCCCCTTGGCTCTGTGTTGATTTTAGGAACCTGCTGTGCCTGAGAGACCGGGAGTACCTGTAGAGGGAAGCCTCCATCTCTGCCCCAGTGAGCAGACTTTGGTTGGACTTGAACTGCACTGGCCTCTCTGAGTTTTCTTCTGTATCTGACCAGACTGAACCTCATGCATTTGCCTGAAGCACAGACCATGTTTATCTTTTTTGGAGTAGAGTGGTTTTTTGCATTGGGGTTGAGAGCAGAGCCCTCACTCCAGCCAAAAGGCTGAATGCATGTTTCTGTGTTTGAAAACACAAAGGTGCTTACTCAGGCAAGGTCTAGGGGAAGCTTCAGGTCACACTCAGGGTTCCAGCTCAGCACTTGTGAGGCCAAATCTTGGCTCTTTTGTTGATCAACTCTTTTATCTTCAGTAAGCCGTTTAACTTCTCTGAGTCTCATTTTCCCCATTTGCAAATTACAGAAGAAATAACACATCCTAGGAATTAATGAAACATCTAACCCTGCAACCCCTCTTTGTTCTTAGGAGTTTTACTCCCTTCCCTTTGCCAGTAATATACCCGGCAGCCTTGACAGTCATCCAGAATTGGTCATAAGGTTTTTCTTTTTCCGGGTTCCAACTTCCTTTATTGTTCCAGGTTGTCAATATCTTTTTGAAACACAGCGGATAACCTGTGGGGCTTATAGGATCCTGTCTCCATGGTGATACTGTTGCCCTGTGTCCTATCAGGATTGGCTTATAGATCCTGCTGTTGCCCTGACCCTGGAAAGTTAATCCACACCCAGCATGATAAGGAATGTGGACTCCGCCTGCTTTTAATTCTTGCACAAGGCCTATGGGGTTATTCTTGGAGGGAAAGGTGAGGGTGATCTTTGTCACCCTCAGCAGGGCCAGACCTTTAGGCATAACTCTGTGTAGACAGTAGGGTCAGGGTCTTTATGGAGATTCATTTTTTTTTTTTGTCATCGTTCAGTTGGGGTCTTAAAATATAGGCTGAAAAACTAGGATGGCAGATGATGAGTTCACAGTCAGAGGTGAGGGAGGTGGGGTGGAGTGTAAGGAGCATTCCTTGGGAGTCCAGTCAATAAGCAGAGGGCGGTTAGAGACCTTGAACAGGAGAGAAGGCCCTGAGTGAGCAAGCACCCAACCAAAGACGAAAAGCCACGTTCCAGGGAGACATGCATATCTGGGGTCGAGCTGAGTGAGAACCCAGATCCTTATTCGCTCCCTCCTTGGGGGTGAAAGCAATTATCTACTCATTTAATTATAAAATCAATGCACACTCATGCTAGCCATTTTAGGATATACAGAGAAACAAAAATTTAAAAAATTAATATCACCCATAAACCTACCACCCCAGGTTGTGTTAACCACTGACATTTTGCTGTGAATCTTCAGACTTTTCCAGCTATAAAAGTAGATCTTGCAAGGGCCCTCCCTGGTGGCGCAGCGGGTTAAAGCACTGCACTGAGAATCTAAAGCCGCTTCCGCATGAGTTCAATTCCCGCCTGCCCCGGAGGTGACCACATGGTGTGGCAGACCTCTCCTGACCCGCCCACTGCTCCCCTCAGCAGTGTACTTCGTCGATCTGCCTGTTCTGTTCCCCACTCTGTCTCTGGTGAAGCCTCTCACCGCCTCTGGCCTGTGTACCCCACTTCTGTATGTACAAATAAATAAATCTTTAAAAAAAAAAATCTTAAAAAAAAAAAAGTAAATCTTGCAAAATCTACCCGAAGCTCAGAGTATATTTACACCAGAATATGTACACAACCTGTATAATTTTTTAACTGCAGTCTTTGCACTACAGTAGATAAAACCCTATCACCTAGATAAAAACCTGAGAACAACCAAAGGACTGTTTGACTTGCTTCCTGGCTTCTACGAGTCTTGATTTGGGTCTGCTGTGCTAGACTAGGCCACAGTGAGAGACTTTGGAGTTGGTCTTAATAATTGGAGATGCAGTGTAGACCCCAGGCCCTCTGTGCATCTGGCAAGTCCCATGCCTGTGGTTTAGTGCACAACTGTATGCGTATTCAGCACTGAATCCAGGAAGAGACGCATATGATGGGCAGGAACCCAGAACGGCGGTTAGTAAGTACGAGCTTTGCAGAATGTGCTCACATACCATCTCCTTTAAACTTAGCAAGGAAGAGAGAACTTCTTCTCTGAGATGTCAGCAGCCAGCATGTCAGTGGGGACCCAGACAGGCAAATTCTAAAAGCATTGTTGCCAGGGACCTGCCCTAGAACAATGAAATAGAATTTCTGTGGGTAGGGCCCAGGCTGAGGCTAGTGGGTGATTGATTTAGAGCCTGTGACTTTCTTACTCAGAAGATTAAGTGTGAGTGCTTTTGAGGGTGTGAGAGAACACCAGAATTAGAGTGGGGATTGGTTACAGATTAAGTGCTGTTGAAAATAGTGGTGATATCACAGTTAGCTAGAAGTTGTATCACAAGTAAATGGTTGCTACTGTTGACCAGACCTTTGCGAAAAGTCGGGAAGTTTCAGCTTGATAGATCAGAGAGGCCTGCGGTGATCACTATCAGGTCATCTGCATTTGCTTCCTGGTCAGTTTAGTGGCATGAGGGCACTGTGCATCCCTCAGGCATTTAGGAGGTGCCACGCAGTGAACATCAGCCTTCTCTGCCTTGGCGGAGGGGTGGTGGATCCTGGAAAGGAAAGTGTGTCCATTAAACGCAGGTGTCTGCCTTGAGTGCTTCCTGTGGGCTAGCCTTGACACCATCTTACAGATGTGTATGTGAGTGTGGGGATCAGGGTTGGTTGATGGCAGGGCAAGAAGTCTCAGAATAGCTAACTCTTTAAATAGGTAATTCAGCCAAAGGAAGTGTGTGTACATTGCTGGGACTGGCGGGATTTCTCTTTTTGTGAAGAGCCAATTGGCGTGTCCTTAGCACATTATCTTTGGAAACATGTCATGCTGGTGTGGACATTTGACATGTTATCTTTGCTCCCTCATCAAGGTTATAAACTGCGGCCATTTTATTCATTTTTATCAGCTCCATCTCATGGTGGTTAGCGTGGCAGCCTTGTTTGAATCAGTATTTCAACGTTCAATTTGGGTCAGTATTTTCTTATCTTTTTCCATTCTTTGATTTTCATTCATTCTTTGTTTTTTAATGTGTCTCTAAATGGTATGTTGCTCAGTTAGGCAGTGTCTTAAATAAAAATCCAGACTGACAATCTGGATAGTTATGCCCATTTATATTCATTGTATTTACAGACATATTAGGATGTCGTGATGCCATCTTATTTTAGACTTTTTATTTGTTAGGCTTTTGCAATATTTTTTCCTCCTTTTTTCATGCTGCTTTTTTAATTGCTAGAGGTTACTCCCCCTCTTCTATTCTCATTCCATTGTTTCTACTAATTGGCAGTTATGCAATTCCTTTCGTGGTTAGTGATCCAGCTGAAAGTGCATGTTAACTCAGTAAGGTCTAAAGTGAGCGGGTGGCTGTGGGCCTTAGAATGACTTAACATCAGTCACCTTCCTTTTTCATTTGTTCACTCTTGTGCTCCAGTATTTAATTTAATTGCCTTGCTTTATAAACTACAACTCAAAGACATTTAGAAAATGTAGTATTGGGTCATCCCTGGTACTGCAAGGGGTTAAGTCTCAGCAGTATGAAGCTATCCACAGCCACTGCAGCATGAGTTCAATCCCTGGCCAGGGAGTTGACCCACGTGGCACAGCAGACCTCTCCTGTCTCACCTGCTGCTCCCTCAACAGTGTAATTTAGTAGCTCCATCTGTTCTGCTCCCCACTCTGTCTCTGGTGAATCTTCTCCCCTCTCCCCCCATACCTCTGGCCTATACCTCAGCTCTTGTATGCATAAAAAAATAAATCTTTAAAAAATATAAAATAAAAAATGTATTACCAATAGTTTATTCACATGCACAAGTTCGCCATTTCCTCTTCCTATCAGTTTCAGAGTGGCTATCTCAGAGTCTCTTATTCTTTTCTTTTGCCTACACCCCATTCTTCTACACACACACAAATAATAA